CTGTTGTCACTCATTCCAATTATGCTTTTCTGGTGCTGTTGTGTAATAAATTATTTTGCTCAATTTATAGGAATAATTTTGCCCAGACCAATGTATTTTTCTTCCAAACAAAGTGGTTAGAAGCTACTATAGGCATCCTATTATGTAAATTTTATTTTGCACTATGTGCTGCTTTCTTTTCCTTAAAAAAAAAGAACACAATTGGTCATTTCAACATAGCACATTGTGTACATACTCACAATATATTGCATTTATTGAATTCATTGCACAAATGAAACTAATAGAAATGAAAAGAAGATAAGAGTTTTCAAACCGCATTTAAACTAGTAGACTTCTCAGCATTTAACTTGGATAAAAATGAATCTCTAGGGATGCACTCAAGTTGCCCTAGGGTTTATTTTTTAAAAAAAAAAAAACAACAACTTTATTTTGTAATAATGAAGAATGTTTTCAAAGTTTGCAAGCACTGAAAACATCTTAAACACCAGACATTTATATTTGTGTCAGAAAATACAGCAAAGCCTTGTTTTTAAGCAATTGGGGTGGGGTAGGAGACAATTATATGCCACATTGTTGCAAACTGAGCAAATTTTTACAGATGAGTTATAAACCCCAACTAATGGCCCTTTGATGGAAGTGCTGATACTACCTAAACTAGAACAGTGCAAATGGACTGAGATCTCCAAACATTATCCCCGAGCATTTTTCTATAAAGTGACCCACTACTCTGATGCCATTTTCCAGCTTTTCATATTCTATTCAGGAATAATAAAACATTTCATAATGTCATACTTGTGGGATTATTTATTTTTTTTGAAATACAGAACTCGAAAAATATGCTTGCTTTTCTTTCATCTAAATGGTTTCACAGAATGGAGCAACTGGCAGGATGGCAAATTGCTGGCCCTGCTCTCGCTTGGAAATGAACAAACAAAAAGGCTATTTGTGCAAATATCTAGAAAGCTCTGGTCTCTTTCTGAAGCAGAAGAAATGTCTGGGATTTCTTTCATGAAGTGCTGCTTCCCATTGACTTGCTCTCTCCAGAAGGTGAACTAGAAATATGTTAGATTTGAATAACGATGATGAGACACGTTCACTCATTTATTTCTTTAAATGGAAAATAAGATGGCTTTTTAAATGGAAAATTGGTAATGTCCAGCATTTTGCAAAGACTTAGGGCATGTTTGTTTTCTCGGTGTGAAGGAGAGATGAACCACCATTTGGAAGTTGTTTTGCAGCTGGATGTCCTGCCCTACCAAGGAAAATCAAAAACAATTCTCATAAGAGGAAGTTCCTCATAAGTGTCTGAAGATGAGAAACATCAAAGAATCTTGTGGCATGTTTAAGACTAAGATATTTATTATAGGTAACATAAACACTTTGTTAGATGCCGATTGTTGTACAAATGTTAAAAGATCTAATGTTAAACAACAGATAAGGGCCAACAAAAACTAGCACAAAAAAAGGACAAAAAACTATCCTCACATTCAGAAACATCTTTTTTTTTTGTTCTGCACTAATGATGGGCTACAGGGAAACACATCTGTAAATTGTACAGGAAGCTTGCTTCAACAGTTGATTCACCTTGACAGTTTTACTGGAGTTATATGAAAATTAGTATTAAAGATGTGATATGTAGGCTTCTTTCCAAGAATTCCAATCTGGTTTCAATAAAATGAAAACACTGATTGGAAGTGAAGTTGCCTTCCAGTTTTGCCTTTGGCTATTATGTGTTCATTCATGAAATGACAGTACTCCACAACTACTTTTAATATTCACCTTTTGAGTTCATCTCTCACACAGGACACATTGGAATGATTAAAATAGCAATCGGATTTTCCTTAATTTGAAACAGTCTAGGTGCTGAAGAAAAGAAAAGGGAGCTGATAGAAAGAAATGGGAAAAGTTTGCTTCTACTATGTCCACCGTTTGCATCAAGTTTCTTTAGTTCATGTTCAGAAAGGAATATTAACAAAATAGCATTGTAAAATAACTTCCTGAATAGTTGACAAGGAAAAATAAAGATTAAAACGTTACAGATTACCGCAATCTCCGTACTTTATTTATACACTTGCAACAGTGATGTACATTGTAATTTAATAATTTAAACCCCTGATGTCTACACTACAACAATTAAGCTGCCATGCTCATCAACAAACATTGCCATCTCGACATACTGCTGGCACAAGATAATTGGCAGTAAACTAAGGAAAAGTTGATTCTTTGGTTGGGAACATAACTTGGAAGCATTTGGTGCATATAATTCAGCCCCAGACTGGAAGACCATGCGTCCCATCTTGTTTTAAATTCATTGAAACTCCTGCTATTATATCAAATATTATTTTGGCAAATGTTATTTTATAATTTGTTGATCATGACAATGTAGTTCATTGTTTGGAAGCAAAATATTCTAAATGATTAATATACTGAGGCATTTTTCAAAGAATATTATTTACAGAAGATCATTTAAAAATATGCACTACCTTGACGG